AGCAAATCGAAGCAGCCAATCAGAAGGCGCTAAATTCTTCGCTATGTTATAACGGTTTGGGAAAAAAATTTCGCAAGCCGGGCAGGCTGATAGCGACGTGTGCATGGTAAAATCTGATATAAAATATTCAGCTTCGCTCACAGACATCGCGCGACGATTCCGAGATCCGCAGCTTATGTCTAAATGTATGGGCGAATGGCGCTGCAACGTTGCGACGGACTGGCCAATAAGAAGTTTCCTTCGGGACCGTTTTGATACGTTTCGACTGACAGCCGGGCAGCTGAGCAGCGTGTGCCAATGGTAAAATTGATGATAAATATTCACGTTCCGCTCTCAGCGCATGCGCGCGACGATTCGCCGAATCCCAGCTATTGCTACTCGTATGGGCGAATGCGCTGGCAACGTTTGGTCGACGTTGACTGGATTGCCTTTGACAAGAGAACAAACGCCCATTTGTAAATAGTTGTTTGGGTTTATGACCGCTAGATAAGTACGTTTTCTGATGTATTTACCATGAAAAACGTATCTTTTCCTCATTAATATAACATATAATATCACTATGATTGCAATTCTTTCTGCAAATGTGTTATTTTCATCTCAATCTTAAGTTATGAGAGGGTCTGGGCTCTCGTAATATTACATACATACGCATGTACACGCACTCGTAGTGCTTCGTCGCAGGAGGAAAGAGCAAAGGGCTACGACAGTACTACTAGTACTAGAGCTACGACGGTACTATAGTACTAGGGCTACGACAGTACTAGAGCAATACGTACTCGTACTCGTTGACGCTAGTAGTAGTATTACTAATACAGTAGTAGTCGTAGTAGTAGCCTAGTGTTTAACCCTGAGGTCAGCTGAAACGTAAACTAATCGGACCACGGCACGAACATAAACAGAAAGGCCGAGACTATACACACGGCGGCCGTGTGGATAAGATTCAATATGGCTATACGCACGGCGGCCGTATGGCCGACTCAATATGGCTAGGAATGAGGAAGGGGAGAAGGGAGAAGCTGGTGGAGAAGGAGGAGGGGGAGAAGCTGGTGGAGAAGGAGGAAGGGGAGAAGGGAGAAGGTGGTGGAGAAGGAGGAAGGGAGAAGCTGGTGGAGAAGGAGGAGGGGGGAAGGAGGGGGAGAATGGAGCTGGTGGAGGAGGAGGGGGAGAAGCTGGTGGAGAAGGAGGAGGGGGAGAAGCTGGTGGAGAATGAGGAAGAGGAGAAGGGAGAAGCTGGTGGAGCAGAAAGGGGAGAAGGGAGAAGGTGGTGGAGGAGGGGGAGAAGCTGGTGGAGGAGGAGGGGGAGAAGCTATTGACTGCCCCTATTGTAATGAACGTTGCACGCTCAACCGCTACGCGCAGGGACAGGATGGATGAAGGTGGCGATGTAGCCTCGACAACTTCTCTCAGTCTGTACGGCATAATTCGTTTTTTTACGGAAGCCATTTGCCTCTGAACAAGCTTGTTTTGATCATCTACATGTGGGCTTGTGATTTCACCCAAGTACAGATCATTCGCGAAGCGGATGTCGCTCCAACAACAATTATTGACTGGTGTAATTTCATGTGGGAAATTTGCGAGCAGTACATAGAGGACAATTTACAAGAACTCGGAGGCTTCCATGACAACGGGAAGCCCATCGTCGTTGAGATCGATGAGAGTAAATACTTTCATCGAAAGTATCATCGCGGTCAATGGTGAGAAGGGCATTAGGTTTTTGGTGCAGTAGAACGACATACTGGACGCAGCTGCCTTGTGGAGGTGCCCAACCGACGCCGTGACACTCTTCTCCCCATCATCCAACGCTGGATTTTACCAGGGAGCCGCATGATCTCAGATGGCTGGGCCACATACGCTGATATTGCCCTGCTTGACATTTACATGCATGATGTCATCGTCCACCAGCGGAACTTCGTTGATCCAGGTGATCCGACAATACATACGCAGCTGATCGAGAACACGTGGATGCGGGCCAAAAGAAAACTACGTCGTCAGCACGGTATCACCGTCGCATTGTTCCCATCGTATCTTGCGGAGTTCTCGTGGCGACAGAGAGTTGGTCCCAACAAGTTTGGCGAAATGATCAATTGTATTCGTGTGATTTATGTTGTGTAAGTATGAGAGTGTGAGAGATAGAGGGAGAGGGAGAGGGAGAGGGGAGAGAGATCGATCGTGGGTCAGTTTGATCATGTTATGTTATGTTGTTTTTGACTTCAACGTAATAAAGTATTTCGATTTAAAATTTTTTTTATTTTTTATCTAACTAAACGGAGCCTAAGATAAAATATTGCTTGTTTCCCCTTTACCGACCAGCTCGTTAAAATGCCCCGTCTCAACAAATTTTATTGGCCGATTAAAAAAAGCAACAACTGAACAGTTCTAGTTGTTTAACACCCTTTTAGCCGGGGCGCGATCGCGCGACATTTTCAGGTTTAGTTGCAAAGGTTGCCGAAAAAAGTAGCCCGCGACACTCGTGTTACACACTTTCACCGTAACAGATTTACAAAGCGCCAGCGCAGCGCAGATCAACAGATTATATATAGCGTCAGTGACGCACAACGCATGCAGCGCGTGCCGTGCTGCGGCGGCATTTCATTGATGTACAGGGGGGGGGGGTGGCTGGGTTGGCAGATTCTCTCTTCTCCTCTTACTCCTCCACCAGCTTCTCCCGTCTCCCCTTCTACCAGCTCCCTTCTCCCCTTCCTCCTTCTCCACCAGCTTCTCCCACTCCAGCTCCATTCTCCCCCTCCTCCCCTTCCTCCTTCTCCACCAGCTTCTCGCCCTCCTCCTTCTCCACCAGCTTCTACCTTCTTCCCCGCCTCCTCTACCAGCTCCCTTCTCCTCTCTATTTCTCCCCTTCCTCCTCCACCAGCTTCTCCCCTTCCACCACCTTCTCCCCTTCCTCCTCCACCAGCTTCTCCCTTCTCCCCCTCCTTCTCCACCAGCTTCTCGCGCTCATCTAACGTCTACTGCGGTGACTCTTCTGTGGTGGAGTGGTGGGCATTCTAGTAAAACCCCCCCCTGGGGTTTAGCCCCAAATGTGTTCACAATACAATGCGAAATACAGTTGGAATGCACAGGATGCGTATGCAGGAACCTTATCCAAAAGAATGTTCGTTGGATCGTTATGAAAGTTGCCACGAGATGGCGCGTACGTTAAGTGTCTTCAGGAATTAAAGATGGAAGCTCCCACTCATACGTAGCATGCAACAACTATGCTGCAAGACAGAATAGGTAAACACTCATCCATTTACCTATCGCAAGCCTACAGGCTGCGCAACATAGAGAGCTGCCCCACCTGTAACTCAATTAAAGGCAAAAACTCCACAGTAACCACACAACACTGGCAGTGGCATACGTTACATTAACATACTGACAGCTACAGAATGCCGCATAATAAATTATCACGATTTAAGGAGCATAAAACCCTTCTTAGACCAAATAAGCTTTTGAAAATTTCAACTGTGACATTGTAACGCCTCATACATTCCAGGGCATGTAATAGATTCCTACTAGCAAATCCGACAAGTGCAAATATTCTTTCTTAACAGACAGTCAACAAATCCAGTAGTTTAACACCTCCTCTTGAGGGTCAAAAGGTTATCCGACACTTGTACCTCTTCGCATGTCAGCAAAGCGGACATTTCATGGTCCCTTCTTCAAATAAAGCCTAAAAAATGCTAGGTCACGCGCTGAAACAAAAAAGTTTTTTCAAATCGCTCCGTAACCATGTCCTCAGAAAATGTCTAAAATCCTGCCCTGTGCCCATTGACCTTTGAACCGCTGTGACCTCAATGTTCGCACCAGTGATGGCTTTTTTCCTACCATGGATGCTATACCCGACTATCACGAGGCCTAGGTCGAGC